ATAAAAAGCCCTACACTTACGTCACGCTTTAGGCTATATATTTTCACGCTATTAAACATAGGAGGTAAATAAATTGGGTAATAACCCTAATGTGGGAAAGAGACCATTAGCTACTGCCAACAAGGAAGCAAACTTGCCATAGGAAGGTAATTGGTATTTTGACATAATTTTAAGCGGACGAAGCCGCTCGGAAACAGCTTGCCGTATTGTATTAACATACTCTTCAGAAACGTTAAACAAAATTTACTGAAGGTTACCTCGCACTAATACATCTTGAAGTATCAATAAGTATTCGGTTGCGACGGTTAGGTTTTCAGAGCGAGATGCGAGATATCGTTAGTATTTGGCTTTCTCATGTATCATATACGTTCTGATTGTGATAAAATATTTGATAAAACTGTCAAATATTATCGCAAATGGGGCACAGATTTTGATACTTAAAAATGAGAATATTTCAGTTTATTAATATTAACGTAGTAATTCCAAAACATCCTTTATTTCTCGTAAGTTTAAAAGCAAAAACCTATTATCAAGTGATACCTGGTCAAAGATCAATATTAATTTTAGCAAACAAAACAATATAGGAACAAAAACATTAGATTAGATAGCTAAACCTTGCCTTTTATCTCTTTATCTACACTTTGGATTACAAACTGACAACTAGGATATTAGGAGAACGCGGAATTTATACTCTGCTAAAATCAAACATAGCGAAATATTTAAAGAACAAACATATACATAAGAAGTTTAAGAAAATACATGTTTCAAAGATAAGCAACTTTACTTAAATAGGGTTATACATTTTTATCTATTCTTACTTTGAACTAACAATCATCTGCTTCTCTGGATTTTTATTAGGGCGTCTAGACACCGAGACAGGTGTCGACAAACTTTTGTTAACAAGAAGGGTTGTCAAACTATAGTTTGCTGATCCCAGCATTTAAGTTTAAAATGGTAATACCCGTGCTATTTATAAAATTACACGCGATATGTTGTGGTGTCGCCTAATTTAATCTTATCAAAACGTGTCATTGTTATTATTGTAAAACAGTCATGTTAAGTATATTTTCATAACAAATTAAGAAACCAAATTTAATAATGAATTGAACGTATGATCAATGACAGTCTATTTACGCAATTCTAAGTTGAAATCTTGTCATGCTAAAGTAAATCTATACTCTATACTAATATAATAAAGCGTAAACACACTACTTCGTGACGTAGGATGTCAGTAATCACAGCATATTTTTGAATAATTATTTTTTTAATAAAAAAACTTACGACACGATCTATATATAAAATAAGCAACTAAAATTTTATGTGGATTAAGCCGCATGGGAAGAGCTAATCTTTTTCTTTAGAAAGGTAAAACAAATCGTGTATGCAAAATAATTGCATGTAATTAGTTCATCAAAGTACTAGTTATTTTGAAATCCAATTAATAAAAAAAACCTTAATAATGGCTCATAATATTTAACTTTCTCTAAGTATTTCAAATACTAACATAACTTAAGCTTTTTTACAGTAAAACATTTTTTTATAACAACACATTGGAACAGCTAGTTAACTTAAAAAAAATAATGCTTATTGTTTGAGAAGGTGAATTGTAAACAAGATACACAATGCCCCCAGGAAGACAATGTTAAAAATAGAAACAGGGACCTAGACACCTCATCAAATGGGAAGACAGATATGATTTACCATTTTCCTGTCCATGACACTGGGTACAGTTTTTTTCGTCACAATCATTTGTAGGCTCATCCATTAAATAAAATACGAAATGAGCATATTAGAAGTTTGAGAGTAGCCTCAGTGGTTGAGAAAAGAGGAAAGAGATGAATCGCATGTAACAAGAAGGATGTTAGTTATGAATGTGGAGGGGTACACCGGTAGAGGTAGACATAGACAGAGATGTATGGATTGTGTGAAAGGTGACATGATCAAAAAGGGAGTGATAACTAAGATGACGGATGATAGAGTTATGTGGAGGACGAAAACCTAGCGCAACGGAGCCTACGGGATAGGATAAGGCAGGGGAGAATATAATGAATCATTTGTAGGCTGTAACTGTTGCACAAACACTGCAGGAGTAGAATAAGAAGAAAAATGATAAGGCAGGCTAACTGTCAATTAAATATACAGTTGTAATAGTGAAATTTGCATTATAAAAGTATTTTTTTTGGTTGTTTTCTACCTAACATGGTACTAAAAATGAAGTGAATAAATCTCATCATAATTAGTGTAAAAACATAAAGAAGATTGCACATTTGTTATGTTATAATTATAATTAATTCTTTAAAATGTAGTAAAGATGAAAAAATGTTACCTCAACACTACAAATGTCCATTAAATAAAAAAGATTGTGTAAAGCGTTGATTATCCATTAGTTATAATTTTCTATAATTAATAACCAGCATAAAAAGCAAGTAAACATCAGTATTTGTTATCACTAAGTACAATAATTATTAAGTAATGAATTGGCACAGATAAAAACATGTCAACAAGATAAAACCAAAAACAGTGACTGTCACAGATGTAATTCAATAGTTAATTAAGTTTTTTCTAGTAAGCTATATCTTTAATTGATAAAAATAGCGGGAATAAGATGTAAAATCTAAAGATTTAACATAGTAATTTATCTAAGTTATATTTACAGATAATATCAGCACCAAGACCATCTCCAATCCTTCAATCCAAGATCAGAACGGGACATACAACATAAGGACCATACTAATGAAGCAAAATTCTGTCTAAATAAATTTTAAAATATTAAAAGAAACTGTAAACTGTTGAAAATAGGACAATTACATATATACAAATTCGATCATCTCCATAATGCTATCATAATCCGAAATAGACATTTTAAATATGAATGGACTAACTGGTAACTTATTAATAGTATGAATCATTGAAATTTTTGGTGAATAAACATGCAATAACATTATTACAAAGACCATCAATAAAAAAAAAAATAAGTCAACCTAAACTCCAGTTGTTGTTTGAATAAAAAACAAAACAGTTACGAGACTCAACTGATGATACCTCGATAGCTTGCAAAGAACTGATTTGAAGTCTCAAATTATGATACATCAATAAAACTGCCCATAGTTTAAGATATTTGTAAATTGGAAACCGTTACCTTTTTAAAAAAACCGCAGTAGAGGCAGGTCAACAGGAACAAAGTAGGTTGATGTTTTGATTACAGTTAAAATTTCACGCGAATTGTCACATATCAACAAAAGTATAATATTAACCACTAAAGTATAAAGGCTGCTGTTTCTCTCAAATGTAATACAAACAACATTCAAAAGGAAAATAAAAATTTACTAGTTCGCAAATAAATTTCACAACACGTTACGCGATGCAATCACAATCATCTTTCGTTTTTTGGTAGCAAATAATTTGACAAGTTGACAACTGTTAGTGCAATGTTACCAGTTATAATAAACCAAGGCAACGACATTCCTGCCAGTCTTAATTCTCGAACAAATATTCAATATGACATAAACACATTTTGATAAAGTGATCTTCATTTGTGTTTTTCGATTGTACGTCAGTTCATTTATTATATGTATTATATCCAAAAAGTTCATTTATTATATCCAAAAACAAAATCCTAATAGTCAGTTGCAGATTTTACATTTGGCAACATTGAAAACGACTTCTGCAATCTTTCAATATGAGCTTTTTAAATTTCATACATTCTTTATTAACAAGCTTTTTGGGATTTAGGTACAAAAGCCTATTTAGAGACATTTCTCTAGAAAGGTCTCATGTTTTTCATGTAAACATGGACCATCATGGAAACAAGTATTGCCATCTGTTGTGGACTTTTTACACCTCTTACAATTTAAGAAACAAAATCATACGTAAGTGTTATAACAACATCATAGATGGCGCTTCCACCAAAGCTAAAGTTTTTTGATTTTAATGATAAAAGTCAAATCTTAAATGTAGTCTAAGTGGTATGAATAAATTTTAGAAGTGTTTAGGAAGTTGAATTAGTTAGGATATTTTTCATTTACTGTCACTAATGCAGCGCCCACTATGTCATAAATTGGTGGATCATTACATTTTAGGCGTTATTACAGCTTTCATAAGGTAATAGAATGGCATAGGTAAAATAAAATGACAAATTAAACTGAAACATATTTATTTAAATTATAACGTTTCTTTTTATATAATAACGTTCTTTTAAAATGTAACTGGAAGCCTCTACATAAACATGGTTTAAAAGGGTATAACAATACAATAGATTGAATAAGCTTCGATTAAAATAATTTACACGGTATAGAAATAATCTTGGAGAACTTGACCGTAGCTCGAAGAATCGGCATCAGTGTTCACCTAAAAATTTACAAAGTATAATATTCAGATAAAAGAATAAAAACATTGTTAAAATGTGTGTATGTGTAATATAACACATCGGCATTTAGAAAGAGACAGACTGCTAATTTCGGACGTATAGCATTCAATTTTGTTGAGCAATATTCATAGTCGAGTCCATCACTAATACAATATTTATAAATTATAATCAAAATTTTTGTTTTAAAATCTGGATTTTATTGTATGTTAAAAATAACGAAAATAGTTTTGCTAAAAGCATGTTAAAGCAGTCCTTTCATTGTGTCAATTTATACATGATTGTTTTAATATAATGTACACATAACTCTGTCAATCAAAAATAAACATAAAAACATGCAAAATATATTAACTACACCTGCGTGCAAGACGATATATAAATGTTTCTCAAAACATTTCTAACATACTAAAAGCTTTGTTCAAAAATCTTACATAATTAAAAATAAAACATATACATTTATAAGTATATTTACTAAGGATAATGTTTAAGACAAATAATAGTAAAGCTTTAAAATTTAACAAAACATCACAGCAAAGCAATAAAATGTAACTTTTAAAATTATAAGTTTTAATAATTAACACGTTTTAAAACAATTTTTAAAAATGAAGAACGACCAACTTGCTTAAAATTTCTTTTGACATCATTCCTTTTATTTTAAAGTAATTTTTAATATTGTTGTCCTTTTTTATTTTAACTTATTAATAAATTTGTAACACTGTAAATTAAGTACAATTAACATTCTTATATGCAAACAAATAAAAAAAGCGATATACTTAACAATAAGGGTTACGCACAAATCTTGCATAAAATCCTCTTACAAAAGAAAACAGTAGGTAAAGAAAATATTAATTATACTGATGCCATATGGGCGGTGCGGGTGGTGCGGTTTCATCTGCTACAAAGAATTTGGTCTCGCGGTGCTATTGCAACATAGCCGCCTTACCGCAACTATAGTGCCCATGTGAGATCTCTTAGGCTAGGCGCGCAATTGCGATTTTTCGCAGTCAATTGATTGGTTGATAGTGCGCGCCGAACCTTATAGTAAAGATTTGTGTGTTGATTAAATTAATAGCATAGCTATGACGGTTATCATTGCCAACAGCAAGCCCAGCAGCGTCAACCAGTCCATATCGGCCAGGTGTTGGGAGAGCAGCAGAGTGTAAGAGCAAGCTAACATCAACGTGCCTGAGTTGTGCCAGTTTCGCTTTGACTGCGGATTATTGCTTGCTAAAACAACAAAAACAATGCATACAATAAAATAAAACAAAGGGGTCAGTTAGCTCGGCATTCCAACAGTCCTATCTTCTACATAATACAGCTGTAGCACAAATGGTGAAATGAAAATAAACAATGAAGGGGATGCAAAATGGTTAAAGTGACATCCAAACACCGTGCATGAGAACAGACCACGTACCTCTTTTTTCTCTGTCTGAACTACAACTTTGGTTCTTAGCTCTCCATGGAACTACGTTAGATGGCAGTGCGTTAGATTGACTAGTATTGCCTTCATCTACTGAAAGCCTCCTCAGGTGCTGATTCATTGTCTTCACAAGCTTGGGTGAATTTAAGTCATCTCGCGGTTTATTGGCAGTTTCGTTATTCAAGTCCGGGAATGCATTTGTTGATTTATTAGAGCCGTTAAATTTGAAAATTGTTGCAAGTTCCTCTGACGAATTATACTCAGTTGAATCGGCACCATCCTTTTTTACATCTAGTAAGTCGTTTTCATAAATTGATAGGTTAACTGATTTTCTTTCAGGAATGCTTTTATTATTCTGGTCTAGATTTACCTGATTAACACGCCGACTTGCTTCTGAAATTCCGGGGATTCCACTTTTGTTTTCATCGTCGTGTTTAGCACATTTATTCATAAATAATTTATCGTTAACTTCAGATATACCAGCGATCAAGTCTGAAATCCCGTCTTTTAATTCTTTGAAGGCATTTATTTCATCCAATTCCTTCATTTTATTTGTTGGATTCAAAAATGGATTTAAGGAATTTGTGTGTGAAGGCGTAGAAGACTCGAATTTAGTATGACTTTCAATTTTGGTTGCATCATTTTGTATCAAAAGTGGAATAACATCGGGAGCGGGTTTTACGTCTTGTATCATAACTATGCTTTCTTCTGCTTTTAGCGGTTCAGCTAGTTTGTTCGTGTTATCGGAAACTTTCAAGCTTTCATCAGCAAAGTCAAACTCTTTTTCAAAACTATACTTGAGTTGGTCTTCTACTTTGTGTAATTGATTTGAAATTGTAAATAAACTATCTTCGGTCTTCTCAGCCTTGGATTTATTGAGTTCACTATCACCCTCTTCGTTGTTGTGTTGTTGGGTAATATCCTCACTAATAGTTGTCGTATGTTTCTCTTCGTTTTCCAATTTATCGTTACATTTGTTTGTTAGCTCATTTAAAAAACTTAAACGACTTTCAGAAATTCTATTTTGAATATCTGATGTTTTTTCGCTATTATTTCGATTTTTATCTAATTCTGCTAATGCTACACCTAATTTATTACTTGTGTCCATAGCTTCTTGTGCTAGCATACTAAGAACTTGTTGAAATTCATCTTTCGATGATCTTTTTGATGATTGTGGCGATATGTGCGACGGGGATGAGCTTTTGGACTTGTCACATGATGATGATTTAGCGAAACATTTGTCATCACAGTGAATGAATGAGTCGTCTTTTGCAAAATGATGAGAAGTGGTGTGCGGGTTATTAACAAAGAGATTAACAGTATTGTTACGTTGTTTTACCTTATTACGAGGAAAGTAATCTAGTTTCGGTTCTTTATTTTCATAAGTTTCACGAAGTCGTCTCATAACATCACTGTTACTATGAGTCTTTTGCAAAGCGGGCGCTTTGGTCATATTAAGTGCTTCATCAATTTCCTTCTGGATCATTGTAAAAATGTTTGCTGAAAGTGATCTTATGGCACGTTTCTTTTTAATACTTTCACTTGATTCTTTAGCATGGAAACTTTCATGGTAACTATGGTTATTATTTATTTGTCCGGTGAGATCTTCGTTATTAAATAACGACGTATGTTTATTATCTTTTCTAAGGTTCCTGTAAGCTAAGTCATCAGAAACGATATCAGGAGATCGTTTCGGAATGAAACGAGATCTACCCTTATTTTCTGGGGTAGCATGCAAATAGTCGCTCTGCGGAGCTGGTGACACCGGTCCAACGGGAATACCAAAAGGCGGTTGAGGATCAAGCGTTTTGAGGCGATTGTTAGTCTGTTTTATATTTCTATAAACGACATCATCATAAACAATATCTGGTTCGTTGCGTTCAGAATGTTTGTCATCGTCCGAGACGTAGGGGACATATACGGGCGATGCTAACATGTAACTAATTTGAGCCTGTGATTCTTTAGTACTTGGTTTATCTTTTTTAGAAAATGAATTCATTCTACGGAATGCCATATCGTCTTGCAACTTATCTGGTAAAGTAGATCTTCTAGAAATGCGCCTTAAAGGGGTGGTTGGTTGACTTCGTAATTGGATTTCATTATCGTTTCCATTCCAATCATTAAATTGGTCGTTAAATTTTGGTGTCATCAATTCACGACGTTCGGCCCGATCCAGTAAATCTTCATCTCCTAATCCTAGACTGTTATAAATAGCCTCCAATTCATTTAGGGCGTCATCCAAGTTTGTAGATTTTCGCCGTTCAGAACTTTTCTCGTCATCTGAAGGTACTTGATAACTGTTAGGAATGAACGTATCCGATTTATGTCGAATATGTGTTTTACAGGTCGGCGAAGTTGCAGGTTTCGGAGGTTCCACCGTAACAGACCTTTTATATTCTGTAGTAGCTTTCCAAATTTTTGAACCATCTGACTGATCTACCGATTTATTTTTATTTTGTATATCGGAATTCTCAATTCTGTAACTGTTCCTTCTTATTATTTTATTTTGATCGGCCAGAGGCCTGTACAGTTGGGAATTGCTAGAACATTCACTATTACTTCTGGAATTAGCAAATGATGTTTGCTGTTGTCTTTGCTTCTCGGCATCATCTATTTTTTTCCAAAATTCTGACGCATTTCTAGGTCTTCTATATGTTATATTCGTAGAAATATTACTTGAAGCTTGAGAATCACTTAAATATTGATTCTCTACGCCATTGAGACCAGTTTTGACACTTATTGGCCTTCTTGATCTAGGACTTTGATCTGCATAATATAAATAATCCTGCCGTATCTGTAACGGTTCTGGTTTAATTAAATTTGGTTGCTCGATTTTCTTGCGCCATGGGGGAGAGTTCATGTAAAGTCCGTAATGATTAGGCTCAGCGGAAACTGATGCCGGTCGTCTAGGTTGTTCATTCCTATAATACGTATTTTGCATATTTTCGTTGTTTTGCATAGCAATATGATCTTCGGAATTTGATAGAGGCCTGCGTAGGCCGTTTAAACCGTAACCGATTGACCGCTCTTGGCTTCTTCGCATAATTCTTTCAAAATCGTTATTGGGTACACCATGGGTTATTTGATTAGATCCAACTCTATCAGCCACTATGGGACTATTTTCATAGTACATTGATAGAGGTGTTGTTACTTTTCTGTGCATGTCTCGTGGCGGAGGTACTGGAGGCGCTCTCTCTTCTTTTTTTACATTGGTAACATTTCCTAAAGGAAATTTAACATACATAACGGATTCTGGATTTTCGTAATTAATAGACGCACTTCTTTCTCTGTTATTACTAGCGGTAAGTGAATCTCGATTGTGGTTAACATTTGGATATTTTATGGAATAATTAATATGTTCGTTATTAACCTTGGCGTTAAAGTTTATGGATGATGGATAACTTTGTGTGGAAGGAAATGATGATACTGATTCTGTCTTTAAAGGTTGTCTACAAGATTCATGCAGTACAGGTTCAGGCACAGATTTATTTGCTGGTTCTCTTTTACAAGTTCCATATCCGCTGCTTTGACTTGTGGGTGTTCTTGTTAGCATTTCAATTTCGGCTTTTGTATAACCTTGTTGCAGTAACTCAGCCTCTTTGTTTAATTGGTTTTCTTCATCACGTGACAATCTCTTAATATATCTTTCATTTCTGGCGCTTCTGGATTTTTTGTTGAGAGAGCTATCGCGTGACCGCATTAGAGAATCTTCACTTCTAAAACGTATCATAGAAGAAGAATTAGAAGACTTTAGGGATTCTTCATCACTACTAGACTCCCCTCTCATACTATTCCTTAATGCTTCAACCCTAGCTTTCAAACGACCCTTTCGTGATTTTCTCGATGGAGTCTCGCTACCAATCCGACTATTCTTTTCGACGAAGTCGTCCTTTAAGCTGAGAGACTCTTTTGATAATCTAGACATGTTCTGTGTTTTAGCTCTATAGTTAATGAACCCAGCAGATGGGTCGGACAATACTCCATCGTCGGTTGCATCATGCAAATTCGGCTTTGCCAAGCTTTGTGCCCTCCTCGTATCCCTAATCACAATGTGATCGAAATTATTAACCGGAGGTGCTCTCTTCTTTTTCTTTGCTTTCCTTTTAGGTGACCGCCCACTAACATCGTCGTCACTTTGTGATGATGTGCCACTTTCTTCTTCCTTTTTCTTTCTTCTGAATAGTTTTCCTATTGACCATTTTTTATCTTTTTTGATGCGTTCCGTTTCTATTTCCGTCTGGATCTGTCTGTCCGGACGACGTGGGACGGATGTGTAGTCATCATGGTAGGCTCTATATGACGGCGTCGATGCTCCGGTGATGTCTCGGTGGGGCACTGGCGGGGAGTTCACGGTCTGAAATTAGAAATAAAAACTATGTTAATTTTTGTAATAATTTGTTAGGCATATGTAGGTCATTCAATGATGTTATAAAACTCTTTATTCTGTAACACGGTTAAAAATATTCTAAACTTCTATAAATATGTTATCGATAAATAAATTTGAACAACACAGGTATCTTTACTTTAAAATAGATTTACTAGCAATATTTTCGCCTTGCTATCTACAACATACTCAAGGACAGTTTTTTGGCTTCGTTTCAAACATCTGTAACTGTGGTTTTTATTTTCTTTGTTTATTTTGAGTTGGCAAATAAAGGAAGTTATTCGTCGTTGACCTATCCGCTGCGTAACAAGTTGATAAAGAGGTCGTCGGTTCAAAGCCATAGTATGCAGTAGATAATTTTAGTACAAGACCATCATATATTATTAAGTAAGCTACTATAATCTTATCTTCTACAATTTTATTGCATATGTTAGTTTCTGAGGTATAATTATATCTATACTTATTTGGCACTTTGGATAGTTAATATAAGAAAAAAATACTAAAATGCACTAAGCATTGGGTTATGGGCAAATCATAAGAAATAAGAACTTACAGGTAGAAATGACGAAAAATAATTATTAGTAGCTCGTTCGGAAATTACTAGCATAGCAACCATTTTGAATTCCTATATACTTAGTAAAGACACATCCACACTATATTTAAAAAGATTCGTTTTTCACTTATTTAACACGATATTCTTAACATCACTTAATAAAATAACAAAATATATCACAAATGATTAACACATTTTGTAAAGCGAACACAATTATATTATTTTTAACATTTCAAATCTTAATTTATTGCAATTTTTTAATTTTTTATTTTAATTGAAGAAGGCAGGCGCAAGCGCTCGCACTCGCAGCGTTTGCCGAACGACTTGTGATTATTTCAGACTGGACTATAGATACATGCCAAAATACCTCTGCATATAAACGTTACTTCTTCGCCATAGCGTCGGCGCGATGCTCCACAAATCTATTTATTTATAGTCAAGATGTATTATTTATTTTTTATTTGAATGCAATTTTCGCTCGCTATCGTCGGGAATCCTAAGCATGTGGCTTATTTATGGCATGTAATGGGCATCGTTCATTAACATTGTCTAAAATAAACATGTGATTTAGTAACGATGCTAAACAGCACGTATTAGTCATGTTAGAAAATTCCCTTCAAGTAATTAATTGGTTGATAAAATAGGGATAAAAGATTAGGTTAGTACCAAAAAGATGGGCAGATTCAGGCTATACATATCTAAACAAGAAGCCTATTTCTCAGTAACAATTTATAAAGGTTTTTATACATAATTTATAGCAAAGGAATTGAAACTCTCGACCTTCTGACAGAAGTCCAGAGCCAATCTACTATCGCCTATTTTATATTTCATATAGCCGCAAATATAACTATAATATCGGTCAGTGAGAGGTTAATTTATAGTGTAAATTTATAATACGCAAGAATTCTTAACCTCAATATTTCTGGCACGACGGAATAGAATATTTACAGATCAAATTCTTAGATGTAAGAAAGAAATAAGTGCTAAATCAGCATTATTTACTGAAAATAATCAATAATACATTAATGTTAATTGACTAAACAAAACTAATATTAGTAGTTTTAAAGAAATGATGCGTTTATCTCCGAAACAGCTTGGCTGGACTTTCACTAAATGGTAGCTGACTATGACTATTTTTTATCTTAATATTGCGTGGACGAAGTCGCGGGCAACAGCTAGTCAAAACTAAAACTTTTGTTTGATATTTTGACATATAAAATTCTGTGTAATCATGTTTTTGTTACGTTACCTTGAGATGAGACGTACATGTCTCGTCAGACTAGACCTAAAACCAAGGCCTGTTTTCTTGTAACAAGCGTAAGGGTAATCTGATATTTGATTCGAAAAATAATTTAATGTCAAGGCTTTGAATTTTTAAATGCATTAAACTTAAACAGAAAACAAAGATCTTTGTGTTTCCATTTTTATTTTATTTTATGTATTTCTTTAAAGCGTTTATGTATTCAGTTAAAATAAACAAACAAATAAAAACGTTTACAATTTAAGATACTGTATCCACTTGATGCGGAATAAATCTTATTACTTTCATCTCTTAAAAAATAAAATTAGAGTGAATAGAGCTTTATTGGTGTGAGCTATTTTTCCCGCGACGTGAGTAAACGATCTCATCTGTTTGGATTATCAAAGTATTAATGGAATATTTGTAACTAACCATTAAGTCTCATTCATGTTTCAAACAAAAATCCTATTGTACGGTAAATTATGATTTTGATTTCTAGAAATTTTTGACAAAAAGAAACACGCATTAATAAAAAAAAACTGCTTCGACTTTGACATTAAGGGGAAGAATATGATCCAAATTATCTTTGCACAATAACAATGGTATGTTCATACATTTCCATTTTATATACATTTTATAAAAAAAAAATGTTGCTCCCGACTTTTTGAGGGAAATATTACAAAATGGCCAAAAATATAGCCCAGGTTACTCATTGATAACGTAGCTTTTTAATGTTTAAGTATTTTTGAAAACGGTCCAGTAGTTTTTGAGTTATTTCAATACATATAAAAATACAAATCTTTTCTCTTTATAAAATTGGTATATATATTGATATACTACTATGAACACCTACATCTGTCAACAATACCTTATCTTATTGTGTTTTAAAACAAACATAAACACACGCAAACAAGTTACGTGAGCACAGCCTTGGCGGTGACAGAAATAGACAATAGTGATGACTATGACACAATTCTTTTACTCCGAAAGATCACACAGAGTTTATCATAGCGTTTTTTTTAAATACGTATAAACATACAGTGCAATCTGATATATATGTTAGTGGAACTATTGAAAACAAAATCAGGCATGAGGTTTGCAAACCAATTGCAGAACAACAGGGAATTAAATCCAATGAAGTCCAATTTTATTGTCCTTCCCGTTCCATCCTTTCCTTACAAGGAAAGGATTGGATGGGAAAGTGAAATTGACGGTGGAGGTGACGCATAGGAAGGGAAAATATCCTCTTTATGTGCGTCTCCTCCTCCGTCGATTTAGAGCATACAAAGCATCTGCAATTGCAGATGTTATAGGTTGCGGTCACTTTGCCATTTTTACGGATTTAGGTGACCGCTTGCTGGTATGCTACCTTATTGTAAAAAAAATCCACTGATCAGCAGAAAAACATACTTATTTTGTTGATTTAACCACTGCCATCTATCGTCAGAATTAGAAAATTATTTTGTTGTGAGAAATCTTTTCTTTAGGTAGCATTTTTTATTAATCTCAATGATCCCGATACAGATGCCGGCATCTAATTTAATGTGACGTGTGACAGGCGTCACGCTGCGCTTTGCCTGACGTGTGACTAAGTATGGACATCCGTTGGTGTGATATTAATCGTTCTCAGTAGTACTACGGGAGATCGTATGTAAGGGAAACGTGCATCATGGTGTCAAGTGTGTCAAGATTTATTTACGGCCGAAGTCAATTTTCGATCTCGAATGGATTTTGCTTATCCACGATATTTTTTCCTAACAATTTGAATCCACTTTACAACTATATTAATTCCGTATTTGGATAAACATTTTTAACAAAAAATAATTCTATTTATATAAAAGACCAAAGACAAAGTTCCTTTGTATGTTATAGGTTATAAATAAAACATTATAAATCATATTTCTCTGTAAGAAAAGAGGAAAGGATTCATAAGTTCACAAAAAGAATGTTTAAAAGTACTGAAAATATCACCGAGAATATCCGGTGCGTCTTTTGTCTGAGAAAAACATTAAGAGCACTGAAGAGTCCTGTATATTGGGTTTATAAAATTAGTCTTTGTAATGTTTTTTGGACGGACAGTTGTAATGGACCGTAGTAACCATGAGTTTATACACGTATGTCAAATAAGAGAATTTTTCATTATTCTTTAGGCACTTTGAGTTGAAAATTCATTTATGAAATGCCATATTTATTCTTAACTGTTGCTCGCGACTTTGCGCGCGTGAAATTAAAAAATAAAACTATATTACTCACTAATAACGTAGCTTTTAATGGTAAAAGAATTTTTGAAGTCGGTCCAGTAATTTTTGAGTATTTCAATGTTTACAAAAATGCAAATATTTCCTCTTTATAATATTAGTGTAGACATAAATACTATAGGGCTTAAAACTTAGGTTAAGCATGACTGGATCGATTATCGGGATCGGCCGTTAGCTCTTTTATCTTGAAATCTCTCAAAGCACATTGCCAGGGGTTTAAACATGTTTTAAAAACTTTTCCACGTATTTTTTTTTATAATATAAGGTGGCAAACGAGCAAGCGGCCACTTAAATACACCGAAATGGAAAGCGACCGCTGCCCATAAACATCCGCAATTGCAG